AAAATTACCGTTATATGGGAGGTAGGCGTGGTTATTGTCCGATATTGCCCATTTTCAATACCATCCGTCCTACGCCCGAAAGAAGTGCACATACCAAGTTTCGTTAAGATATCTCAATTTTAACTCGAGTTGTCGTGTGCACAGACGGACGGACGGACGGACAGACAGTCCCCGCTTAATCNCCACCCTAATGTACATACATACATATGTGTGTTTAAAATTACCTACTTATGAAATAATGTTGGTGGTATGAATATATACATACTTGCGCTTTCTAAAAATGGGAATAAAAATTGGATTCGCATAAAATTTTAATTCCAATAACTAACATTTTAGTGAAAACATTTACAATAAAGTTTTCAGTAACTTTTGGCAAATTTGTGCGATTATGTGAAATTATACATGCGTTTGTACCTACATATCCATTTACATATATTATTTTAAACAAAGCTAATAGTAAAATTTAAAATGGAATATGGATATGACAATTAAAAAAAAAACAAAAAAAAAATTTTTACTTGGTCCGTCCGGGATTTGAACCAAGACAAACGGCGAAACGCCAAAAAGTTGCATCACCCCTAGCATACGCGCCACAGTACATTATTCAAATCGCAATCTCTAAATCACTACATTTATGAAATTCTTCATTCATCCAAAAAGACAAACGCATAAATATGTATGCATTAATAAATGTAAATATGTGCATACATATGTACGATTGATCTGCTTTCGTCTTCCCCTCGCTGTCCTTCATCCACAGACAAATTATTAAAATTCTGCGAATTGCCAAGACGCCATCAATATTAACCTTAGGTTACGAAATATTTAGGTTTTCGCATAAGTTAACATTTAATAAAGCCATACTCGTACATTTTATATGGAGAATAATAATATTTCATTTAAAATTCTGCATGTAAACATGTTCTCGACGATACGTGTAACTTTCAGGAAAATTAACTAAAAAATTCATGTTATATTAACAGCTGGAATGAAAAAACCTATGTCCGAAAAAATGGGTTAAAATCAGATTTGAGTTGATTTATTTACACGCATACATGCATACATACATATGGACATATACAGTGGACTAGCACTAGCTTGGACATAGCATATCCTGTACTTTGATGTGGTTGTGGATTTGCTTACGGGTGAAACAAATTAAAAATCATCCGTGGATATATGTAAATATATTTTTATAAACGCTTTGAAGTTTAGAAATTTTTAATATTCAAAAATAAATAGAATAATTTTTTTGCAATTATACAAATGGTGTTCAAGGCACATTGACCCACCTGTACAAAAATCGTGGCGCGTCATGGACAAAAATTTTACAATTTCGGACCGAAAAATGTGAAAACGAGCTAAGTTGCCACGTTACATTTGTGAACTTCCGATAAAACCACATATGTTTGTGAATTTAGGACTTTTGAATTTATTAAAAAAAATATAATGTATTTTCCTGCAGAAAACGTTCACTTTATTCAATGTTAATTAAAATTACACCTTAAAATACTAGTTAATGACTGAAATATTGTTGTGGAACAGAGAAATAGATTGTTTTGCCAAAAATTACCAAAATTCGAGATAACTAATTTTTCTGGATATAGAGAAATAGTTGCCACTTTTCACTTTGCTGGCCGAGATTTCTTAAATTTTAGATTTTAGAATTTTTGTGTCGGACTGAAAAAGTTGCGCATGTAGGTGATGAATTTGCGGGGAGATGTGCTGCGGTTGCTATGAATGAATTTATTTGGCCTTGGGAAATACGCGCATGCATTTATGAATGAAATAGTTCTTGTTGTACTTGAATATGTGCGTGATTATGTATGTATGCTGAGTTGTACATATGTATGCATGAGCGTAGTATTTGGCAGAAATATGCACATACGTATGTATGCCTGTACATACTTATCTATATATGCATGTATGCATGTATGTATTTATGTTATCAATTAATGGAGTATGTATTTACATACATATGCGTCATTTTCATTTGACTGCAAAACTATTGGGACATATTCGTAGACGAAATAAAGACGACTCTGAAGTTAAAGTTTGTGAACCTCAAATAAGAAGGAAGTTATTATATGTATGTTATAGTATGTGCATGTGTAAGAACGTTATCAATAAATGATTTCCGAGGTTGTTTAGGTATGTATGTACACATAAGTACATAGAGGGGAACGTTATCAATGCATATATGATTTTGGAGTATGTGCATTTTT